AGTTTCGATATCATCTTCATTCGTGTGATGCATCGAGGATATTAAAAGTACAGCCCTATTTTTCTTTGGCACTCGAGAGATTATAGTTTTAGTTTTTGTAAATCCGTATAAAGTTGAGTTTACAGATCTTGATCTAGATGGTAGGAACTCTTTAAGAATTTCTCTCTTATTCCTTTTCATAGTGCCAACATATTTTAAATTATTATTTAATAAAATATCTACAAGTTCCACTGATGTGTACCAGTTGTCTCCTGTAACATTTCTATTACTGCCAAAAATCGGCTTGCAAAGGTGAACCACTGCTTGGGAGGGAATAGAGAGTTTTTTTCTTCTGCAGTCAAATCCTCTAATGCATCAGATCCTTTTCCAGAATATATATAAGTGTTGTATACATAGTGAGTGCGAGCATCTGCTAAACATTGAGCCTTTATTCCATACTTTTCGGGTGTACTAGGTGTATACATTTTAAACCTACATCGCCCTCGAAAACCGACCAACATTTTATCGACTGTAGTATTAGCACCTAGTACATAAGAATTTTGGTTGAATATCTTTAAAATGTGAGAAATTGCGGCAGCTGGATCAGTTTTAGCTCGATTCGCTCTTTCTTCTCGTGTATCAAATCGTAGGCATATCAGCAGTACAGCAAATCTACGTGCTGAGAATGTTATTCTAAATATTTCTTTCCTCGTACGATCAGTAGCAAGCAGTACGTTGACGCCTTCATTGTTAAGACTTCAAGACTGATGTCAATATCAGAAGCCCAAAAATACATTGCTCTCTTTATTATTGGTGTCTCTAAATTCTGTGCGGTTGTCATTTCCGTCCTCATTTCGCGATAGTCCGTCAGTTTGGACATTATGGTTTTTATCATTACAGCATTTATACAACTTTGTATCGAGACTAAGATGCTTGGCATATTGTAGGAAGCGACGACCGTCGTCTGAATAGTTAAAGTAAATGTGACTGACAAGTCATTATTTAATTATTTCTTTACTCTTTAATAAAAGAGGTCTAATCCTCTTGTAAGTAGGTACATTATAACAATAACTCTTAAGGGTTACTCAAATGAACAAGTTTTCGAATGTAATAATTCCACATCAGTTAAAAGAGGTTTAACATGCTGACATCAATATTGGTAAGACTGTACGTAATTAAGTTACCAAATAATGTACATATTGTTGTTAAAAGTGAATGATGTTTAATATTTTTATTAGATTTTACTTCATACAACATACAACCATGCCTTACGTGAGTACCAGCGTCCGAAGGGTAGAATTCTTCAAACGGACTTCAGCTGGTAACTGAGTTATCAGGTGAGTTATGGTTTGATGGAGTTACGGTATCTCTCTACGGTTTATAATAGCCATGACAATTGAGAATAGATATCTATTTAAAGATTTTCAGTGTAGTGGTTTCTCGTTGCCTTCTACATCCTTCTGCCGTTGACCACTTCTTTGGTTCATCCGCCTTTGGAGTCGATTTCTCAACTCTAGGACAAAAGAGTGCCCTATCACTTACCAACTCATCCGCTCGTAGCCGTTGGTCAGTAAGTGAGAGATTGCTTATACCGGCAATCACTCGGTCCCTATCTGCATTGACCATCTATAGATAGATGTTGCCCATCTCTACCACGTGGAGGTTGCAGATTTGGATTTTTCTTTCATTGGTATTAAGACCTTTCGGCATTTCCTAATCCTTCCAGAGCTTTAGAAGATAAAGGGAGATAGAGGGAGATACAGAAGAGGAGATACAGAATATAAAAAATTCAACAATTAATTCTTTTTTAAGTAATTTAACAGCTGACCAGAACACAGATTATTTATTATGGAAGACAACAAAAAGAATGACCAAGAATAAAAACAAATTTATTCAGTAGACAAAACCATACCTTTAAATATAGAGGAGCTAGGAAATCAAGATTTAAAATACACCTTAGAACATTTTGATTTATAATTTTCCGAATTAGACGCTAAACTAAGACTTTTAAAAACAAGAAAAAATAAAACTTTTCATAAATTTACTGTTCTGACAAATATATTTTGAATTTAAAAAATTATTTCAAAAAATTTTAAACTGTTTTTCATGTATGAAAATATCATTGTTGGGAATTAAAAAAATATATGGTGGGGGAGCGCGATTTTCATTGGAACCCACACTAAAAAAACCTGGCCATGCCTATGATAGTAGTTAACCACTACTAGTTGATTGATACCTGTTCTACTTATCCCATTAAAAAAAAACCACTTATCAATTCATTCCGATATCAGAAAATATACCTTGGTAAAACCTTTTACCTACATTTATGCTATCTATCATATTACCATGATGTTTATAAAATAAATTCTAATCAATAACCTGAAGATAGTGATGAAGCATAATTATTTAAGTACATGCCAAGTATATAATTGAATAAAATTACTAATGTAATTTTGATGAATGTTTCTCTGTGCAACTTTACAATTCATCATGACTTGATATAAATTTATTGTAGATACGTTCATTCAAAAGTAACATATCAGTATTCTACTATTTTATTAATTTTAAAAAATTTTAATATTTTGATAATATTCTTTTAAATTGCATAATGATACCATTTTTATTGAGGTATCAATAAAAATTTCAGTGTATTTATTAATGATTTATCAGTTTTTAAACAATTACCAAATATAGTTTAATATATATTAAAATTTTATTTATATTGACATTTAAAATATAATTAAATGGACGTAATAAATCAGAAAGAGGAATTAGGTGAATACCACCCCAACTCTGGGGGTAAAAATTTTTACATCATAAAATTACATTTTAAGCATAAAATTATCTATAAAATTTTTTTTAAACTGCATATTTTTGACCGATTCGGCACTGAATTTCGTAAAAAAGCACGTTTTTAATCGATTTTTCGCAAATACTTATCTCAAATACGTTTCTTAAAAAAACTGTACGTTTATAAAAAAATGAAAAGATTCGTTTATTTAATTTTATTGTGGGCCCAATAAAAACCAAGATATGTCCTATTAAAGATTGAAATTGTTATTTGAACAAAAATTTTAATTTGAATATTAGGAAAACTGTCAATTTTAGGAAAAACTCATTCAATATTGTTTGAAGAACATTAAAAGGCTTTAAAATGAGATAAGATAAAACCCTCTAGGCTGAGAACTAAGAAAATTATGATGAAAATATGATCGTTTTTTTTTTGACAAAACCCAAAATGGCCCCCTGATTGTAGGTCAATGATTTCTGGTTGTAGGTCAAAGTTAACGTTCTTTATTTTCAGTCTATACTCCTTCTTTGTTCTTTATGCTATTTATTTGTATGTTTCCCAGGTTCCGCTTTAAGCACTTCATGTTTCTATATTTTTTTAATTGTTTTCTCTATCTTTTCTTCCTGTACTCTCTGTTTACACTCCTTGATATTTTTTCTAATAGTTTTGTTTATTTCTTTGTATTACATTTTATTTCTGTCCCCTTGTTCTAGTAATGTTCTTCTTGTGCTCATAAGAATCTTTGTTTCCTGGATATGAAACTTTCTTTTTTTGTTGTTGTCTGTGCTATTTCTTTACTCACTTTCATTAGAGTTTCAGTAAATATCATGTTTGTTTCATTGATATGTTTGTGTTCTATATCTTCCTTGGTCGGCAATATTTCCTTTATTCTCTCTTCGTACGTCTGTTTTTCTTGTTTTAGTTGTTCCATGTCTAATTTCTGATTATTTTCCATTTTCTTTCTTGTTTCAAATCTACTATCAATGATCAGCTTGGCTCGGATTAGTCTATGATCGCTGCCAATTGAGAAGCGATGTATGGCTGTTACGTCATTAACCATGGATTTTTGAGTTGAAAGTATATAATCAATTTCTTTTTAGTTTCACCATTGGGACTAATCCATGTCCAATTTCTTTGGGTTTTTTTCTTAAGAATGTATCCATTGCATATAGTTGCTTTTCCTCCAAGTAATTCATCAATGTGTGTCCTCTATCATTTCTTTTGCCGTATCCATGGTGTCCTACTTTGTCTTCTTCTTTATATAGTTGTTCTCCTATTTTGGCATTGAAGTCCCCGATTATTAGCGTTAATTATTATTATATATTATTATCATCCCCGATTACTTTGCGATAAGTACTAACCTGTATGTTTTCTTTCAATGCCTTGAAGATTTATTCACATACCTCTAGTATGAATTTAGATATGGAACACCTTGAAACCCGATAAAAGTGACACAATCTTCTGTATCTAATGCCGAATGAAAGAAAATCTAAAGTGATCTCCAACTTTACTCTTGCTGGTAAAGTCTCTCCTATAATAGTATGCTGACGTTGAATTTTTGGCATCACAAGACTTAACAGAATATCAAACACATCTGGATTCATTCGTAAAATACTGATATACTCTTTAAGTCTTCATTGCGAAGTTCTTCTAAAACCAGTGCGGATGATCCACGTTCATTCCTTTTAAAATCCATGGTCTTGTCCAAACGCGTTTTTCCAATAAAGCTTCTGTTAATTCATCCAATGCAATTTGACAAAGTTTCTGAAGTAACTGTTTCAGCCGAACTTTGTTTTTTTTTAGAAATATTTACCATTTTCAGTGGATTTGTTGCTCTATTGATCTCGCAATAGTACTAGCTACTGGCTCAAAATTTCCTAGCCACATGTAAACCGTTCTAGCGTACGCCAAGCCAGGACAGTAACTCAGGCCAGGATACCGAAGTATCTAGCTTGCTATCCTAGCTTGAAAAACTAGCGTCGTGCAATCCGGCCATTACGCTTCTATCCTACCCATCAAAATAAATCTTAATATCTCATATTTAGCATCTCTCATTTTATATCCCAAGTAGGAAACTTGTTATTTTATAGTTTGAAACACTTCACGTTCGGTTCCAGCTCTTCCTAACACATTTAACATGATAACTTCCCTTTTGTGGCATGATCAACTCCAAATAATTTCCAAATATACCAATAAATACTCTACACCAAATACAGTAATAAAAAATAATAAAATTCAAGCATTTTATTAAAATTCATAATATAAGCAATATGTATCTGCAGTAATAGTTAATACAGTATTATTAAAACCTATTTGAACGCCAGAATGCAATACCTTCAGATATATTGATAAGTGTCCAATGTTCATATTAATGGCCTGATAAGGGTATTATCAATTACTTCATTTTATAATTTTCTATAAAAGAAAAAATATCGTCAGATGTCACTACTCCTAGAGCTTTATCGATTTTGTCTGTAAATAAGAGAAAAATATAAGTACAGGTTTATACAGGTACAATAAATATAAAATATAAATATCGTTAAAAAAATTTTTAAAAATCTTTCTTAAAATTTAAAACATCTAAGTTATTCAACTAAAAAAAACTTAAAATCAAAAATATATTGTAATGATTTTGCTAATGTCTAATTTATTAAGAATTTTGTAACACTTAGATTTTTTCAATTTTATTTAGTCTCTGTATATAAATTATTTAATTTATATACAGTCCTCTTCGATGTCAGCAACTATAACAGAATGGATGAACTTTTTTCCGCAATTACTAACTGTATCTGGATTTCTCCATGGACGTCGGCATTTTCACATGTGATAGTCCGCAGTCGTAACCTCGTTGGTACAAGTTTCTTACGGCTGTTTACCATTTATTTCTCCATCTACATACACACTATCTTCACGACATGGAGAAGCTATTACTATTAGATGCTCTTTGTAAATGTTCCTGGTCGAAGCTGCCCCAGGTATTTCTTGCTGGCAAGTTTCTTGATTTGTGTTGTACTTAGAGTATTTACTTGGACTTCGTGCGTGTCCCATTTCACCACAATTACAGCACATTATGGTCTTCGTATTTTTATGTGTAATACCCTTCATCATATTAACAAGCTGATCCAGTTTGTCTTCATCTTCTTCCTCTTTTACAGTACTAATTTTAATGTACCCGCCAGAGGGCACGGGCATGTTTTTGCAGTTGAACAAAAAAATCATAATGGCATGTTAAGACAGTTAAAAATGTGGTTTTTGCTCACTCACAAGTTTTATTAGTGAAGGTTATAAATATCATTAATGAGTGAATTTTTTTCAATTATTTATTTTGATAAACTAAATAACTGCCTACTTACCATCCGTGTCCAAGATTACGACGTAAGATTCAATTTCCAAAACTCTGGACGCAAGTCCAAGAGAACTGTCTTTGGGTAATTTAGAAAACATCCGCACTAAGCAATTCTTAATTTCGTCATTTGGTGTCCCCTCCGCTATGAGACGATTGAGAGTGTTTATTCGTGTAGCCACTCCAACTATGACTCTAAAATTGAACAACATATAGTTAAAGAATTTGAAAAATGCCAAACAAAAATATTATTAGGCTTTATTGACAATAAAAACGCAAACATATACAAATCGCAATCATCATACAGTGGCGTTGAATCTTCTGAACCACGCCCTTCCCATAGTCTCCAATAGGTTTCAACAGCCTTTTACGTCTAGCTTCCGGAGATGGATTTCTTATTCATCTCCATCTATCCTATGGCTCTACACTAGAAATTATTCGAGCCCTGGCCTTCCTCAGCAAACCTCCCCATTTGTTACGGTCTATAGCCATTCTTCTTCACAATTGACTGCCAATGACATTTCTCGAGTCCTTATCCACATTATCCTCTCATGACTTTCTAGGCCTCCCAATAGGTCTCTACCTCTTCCTTCTTGCATTAACAGTTTTTTTGGAAACCCGTTTAAAGAGGCCGTGGATGACAAACAGCAGGGAGTAAGACTAAGCGGAGCAGTAATCAACAACATCAGATACGCTGACGATACAGCCATTTTTGCAGAAAATTTACAAGATCTCCGGACATTAGTCAATCTAGTCAGTGGAGCAATATATTGAAGAGGTCTTAAAATTAACATTTCAAAGACAAAGTGGATGGCGGTTGAAAGATTAATATAAATCAAGATTTGATTTCGCTGGAGAGGATATAGAACGGGTAAACCATTTTAAATACCTCGGCAGCTCGTTAAATGTAAATTGTGACTCTTATGAAGAGATAATAACCAGAATCGAAATATCGTGTAAGGCTTCTATGACCTGGAAACCAGTTTTATGTAACAAAAACCTGTCGGTATATATTCGCAAGAGAGTTCTGAAATGTTTTGTGTGGTATATCCTATTATATCTTTATAAAACATGGATAATAGTTACTATTGACGGATCCTAAAAATATCATGGGTTTCGCACACTTAAAGGTGTTCTTAAAATGATGAATTTAGAACGCTTGCTCACAAACATCATAAAGAAAAGAAAAACAGAATACTTCAGCCATATAATTAGACGACTCAAATACCATCTACTTCGTTTCATAATACCAGGAAACGTGGAGGGAAAAAATGGATTGGTCGAAAGAAACTTCATGGTTGCGAAATATTAGACAATGGTGTGGTACCGCAGTAGAAGAATTATTTCGCGCAGCAGCCAATAGAAAATGATTTCAGAAAATTGTAAATATCATAATGGCCAACGGCCAATGTTCCCTGGCTTTGCTTAAAACTTGCTTAACAGTTTGGTAGATGGTAGATCTTCCTTGTTTAAATCATGTCTGCTATTCTCTGATGATCTTTGAATGATTAACAAAATCATTATGCAATTTATTAAAGCTGCTAAAATAAAAATTTTCCTACATACCCATCTTTTACAGCAGGTAAATAATCCACATTAAGTTGATCCATGAGGGCTAAAACCTCTCTGGGAGATGCTGATTGGTCTACATTTTGAATTGGTTTAAAGCCCAGTTCCATAATGTTAAATATCCCACCACCTTAAAAAATATTATAAATAGATTGGTACTATATATCTAATAACTTTTCAATAGGCAGAAAGAAGTATTCGATTTGTATTATCATTTTTCTAATTAAAAGTGTTGATCGCTTTTCTCTTGTTAATAATTTTGAATGGACCACAGGAGTGATGACGTAGATTTTATTGACATCTGTCAGTTTCACTTTCCAAACAAACCTTGTTTATTGTGGATAATTTGTATTTTTCGTTATTTTTTTCATTTATTTTATAGAATCTTTCCGCTTTTTGCAATATTTAAGTATTCTAATAGTTACTACAACAATTTTACAAGGTTGTGTAAATAATAAAGCACATTGTTTTATGCTAATAGCAATAAAATGCATGTATCAATAAAGTAAGGTTAGAATTTCTTTAATTTAAACTTTTAAACTATATTTCATAGAAATAGAACTCTGAATTATGATGGTATTATCGTAAGAAACACTATGCTTACAAGAAAAAGCAGCAGAGGAAGTAAAATGTTAACTTTATAGAAATTAAAAAGTCTTGAGATTGGACATTTCAACTTTTTTTGGAAAGTAATAATGTCAATGTGACAGTCGTGACGTCACACTCCTGCGGTCCATTGTATGAATATACAACCTTATTTGACACTTGATAATCACACTTTTAAACACAATTCAAAATTAATAGTGACATACACTTCATCTAATTTATATAACGATGCACGTCATCGGCGTCATAGCCTGTGGCGTCACATGATACCAACACAAAATATTTAGGGTGTAGGTGTGTATTTTTTAGAACCACTTTACCGAGTACACTGACATTACAGCCACTAGACATATTTTATTATATACGCGTAGAAGTCATATTTAAAAGTTTCTATTAATGTTAACTTGAAGAAATACACAATAATATGTTTTATTTAATTTGTATAAAGTGCATTATAAAGCGTTTTTTATCAAGAACATTTGTTCGGAACACACTGTAACTGTAATCGAACGAAGGTAAAATTTTGGCATAAATTGGTAACACTTATTTGACAGTTGCGGTGTTGACACTTTTTTTACTTATTATTTTGAATTTTAAAGTGAATATCTCTTGTTTTATATTTTTAACTATCTAATAAAATCTGTTCTTTTTAGAATAAAATTAGTGTGTTTTATTTCAAAAATGTCACGTAAGAATTTAAATAGTCGTTGTAAAGAGATGGTTAATACTTTTGCAATAATTATGTAATCTATTTGATTTAAAATGGAGTCAGGATTTTTTTTATACTTTGGCAACTATGTCAACTTCGATCTCTGACGTAGATAATGACGTAGAGTCGTTATCTAAATTAGATTAAGTATAATTGAGACTTTTAGGTATAGGCGTGGTAGGTATTTGTTTTAGTGTGGATTCCAGATGCTGAAAATGGCGATGGCGCCCCGGCACCCGTATATTGTTTTTTATAATTTATTAATTTTCTAAACAATTATATTTTCATGTATAAAAAACAGTTTACAACTTTTTGAAAAAAAATTTTTAAATTTAAAATATGTTAGAACAATACATTTTTGAAACAAGTTGTTTTATATTAAATTATTGCGACATCATATAAAAAATATGGGTGGCCACAGTCACGTTACAGGGTGGTGAATCGTCAAACGAGCCATAGGAAGTAATAAACGGGCTATAATAGAAAAAATTGTAATTAATACTAGCAAAATATAGGCGTTACTATAACACAAGAACAGAGTTAATATAAAAAAAAATTATGGATGCCTGAATTCTTCAGCGAAATACCTGTTAAATGATTTGCCATATATCGTCTCTTGGCTGGTTAAAATTAAAGGTTTATGGTACTGGAAGGAAGGAATGGACCGCAGGAGTGTGACGTCACGACTGTCACATTGACATTATTACTTTCCAAACAAAAGTTGAAATGTCCAAATCTCAAGACTTTTTAATTTCTATAAAGTTAACATTTTGCTTCCTCTGCTGCTTTTTCTTGTAAGCATAGTGTTTTTTACGATAATACCATCATAATTCAGAGTTCTATTTCTATGAAATATAGTTTAAAAGTTTAAATAAAGAAATTGTAACCTTACTTTATTGATACATGCATTTTATTGCTATTAGCATAAAACAATGTGCCTTATTATTTACACAACCTTGTAAAATTGTTGTAGTAACTACTAGAATACTTAAATATTGCAATAAGCGGAAAGATTCTATAAAATAAATGAAAAAATAACGAAAAATTCAAATTATCCACACTAAACCAGGTTTGTTTGGAAAGTGAAACTGACGTATGTCAGTAAAATCTACGTCATCACTCCTGTGGTCCATTGTCAAATGACACGAGTCTATATCGTTAAAAAATGACCCCTTTGGAATAAATTCGACCCGTTTCAGCATTTTTACAAAATCCAATGAATATCGCCACAAATCAGGATGGACTCGTCGTGAGTGGCTAAATCTGTATAGAGTTTTATACGCTTCAGTATATTGTTTGTTGAAGCTAATTTTGATTACTTTGAGATACGTCTTGTTTAATTTTTTGAAATATCGCTAATACATTTTTCTTACCAATGATTACGGGTGTTAACAGCAGGTAATAATTTTCTTTGTTCCATCCATTGATCAACAATGAATTTAGTTAAATAGTTTCTGGTACCGTCTGGCAATACAACTACCACTTTCTTTCCCTTTCCCAAGTTATATTCTTTAACTGCTTTTAAAGCACCTGCCATTATTACGCCACTGCTTAATCCTAAAACAAACAAAGACCCATTATAAGTTAAGTTAATAAAGGAAATGAAATGCTGATAACTCTTTAGTATAGGTGGTATAGTTTCAAAATTGTAGACATAAAATTCCAGTTATTGTTGGTCTTTCAGTGGCATACAAACATTTTTTGTTAGAGTGACAGGTAGTGCTACAAGTACTGAAGATTTTGTGCAAATTCTTCAAAATGTAGCTACCACTATTCTCTCCCTAGCGCTAAGAAATTTCTAAACAAATATGTAGGATCCATATTACAACTGAATACTTTAGACATCAGATTATAATATGGACTATAGTGTATTTTTATGTATGAGAGAGTAATAAAACAATAAATTATGTATGCAAATCCCTAAACTGTTGATACGGGTGACTCAATGAAAAACAGATATTTGTCAACAAGTTTACAGAAGTATATAGGAAAACAATTTTAAACTGAGTATGACCACCAGGTATAAAGGTTGGAGCAGAATAGAATGCAATACTTGTGAGGGTTACTAATCCCTAAATAAGGTTGCCAGTGTCGGAGTGATGGAGGTTAACAGGTACTAATGAATTTGCAAGAAATGTAAGATGTTTATTTTGTTGATTATATATAACCAATAAAAGTTTAATAAGTACCTACCTATTTGCAAAATAAAGTTTCATTCTTTAGATAAAATAAAACGTTTTATTTTATCTGAAATGAGTGCATTCCACGAAGTAAGGGTTTCAACAATCAAACATTTAATTCTTTAATTCCAGGAATCTACGACAATAATTGACTAGATAATTACCTTCTAAACTTATTCCACAGAAGATGTGAAAGTGGGTTTTTCCATTTTGTAGGAAGGTCCAAGTGGCGTATTCAAAATTCTTAACAGTTCACTAAAAGTAGGTACTTCAGTTGCAAGGTGCAGTTTATTGTGTATACTAGTGTTATGGAAAATTTGGAAGTGCCGTGTAAACGCCGAAAAATTGGTCCTTTAACAGTTAATGAAAAAACATTAATATTTAATTGTTTTAAATCATTTACAGACAAACGTTTATGTGAAAGTGTTGATAAGACCGTTGAGTTAGTTAGCAGTACACTTGGTGTTGGGAAATCTACGATTTACAGAGCTTTTAAAGAAGAAAAATGTGGTAGTTTTCAAATGCCACGTAATGCTCCAGGGAAACCAAAATTTCAAATAGAATATCATTTTAAAGAAGGACTTCGACGGAAAGTGCATGAATTCTTCTTTAGTCAAGAATTTCCAACATTGGATAAAGTTCTTGTCTCAGTTCGAGATGATAAGGATTACCCAGAAATGAGTCGAAGTACGTTATGGAAACTTTTAAAAGAAATAGGCTTCCGCTGGAAAAAGAATCCCAGAAAGTCTATTTTATTAGAAAGAAGCGATATTGTCATATGGAGAAGACATTTTCTAAGAACCATAAAGGAAATGAGAAACGAAAAAAGAAAAATATTTTATCTTGATGAAACATGGATCAACGAGGGTCATACACCAAATAAATTTTGGCAGGATGAAACTGTTACAAGTCAAAGGCACGCTTTTGAAAATAACTTATCTAATGGTTTAAACCCACCATCAGGAAAGGGACGCAGGCTGATAATAGTACACATTGGCAGTTCAGACGGTTTTGTTGAAGGTGGTTTATTAACTTTTGAATCAACTCGTACCGGTGACTACCGTGAAGACATGAACGCAGATGTCTTTCAAGAATGGTTCGAACAAATGATAGATCTTCTTCCTAAGAACTGTGTAATAGTAATGGATAATGCAAGTTATCACTCCAGACTTATAGAAGGACTGCCCACAACCAAGTGGTTAAAAAAAGACTTGCAGAATTGGCTGAGTTCAAATAATATTACGTACCATCCCGGATCTATAAGAAAGGAACTTTATTCGTTGTGTGCCCTTCATAAAGAAAAATTTTAAAAATACGAAATTGATGAAATTGCGAAAAATCGTGAAATGACAGTACTTAGATCCCCACCATATCATTGTGAATTAAACCCGATTGAACTGGTATGGGCACAGAAAAAGAGTGAAGTTTCAAGAAAAAATACCACTTTTAAAATTCATGATGTTAAACAGTTGTTTTTGGAGGCCGTAAATAATGTAAAACCTGAAAACTGGGAAAAGGCAGTAAATCACACTATTAAAGAAGAGGAAAAAATGTGGAAGCTGGACAATATTACTGATAAAATGATCGAGCCAGTTATTAAAAATCTTGGTTCTGAAAGTTCATCTTCTGAATCTGATTTGGATTTGTAACAAGTAGCTGTAAGTTTTATATTAATATTTTTATTCATCTATTTAACATACCTTAGACGGTTTTAAAAACTCTTTTTCTCTTTTGTAATTTTTAAAAATTAAAAAAAATGTGAATTTTTTAAAACCCTTTTTAATGTAGGCCAGTCAGTTCTAATATAGTGTGTGATAAAAGAGGTCACTTTTGTTTACATACACATAACACTTTATAACACTGAAATAATTCATTTATTTTTTACAATTATTCAAAGTAATTTTTCAATTAATCTTGAGCACGCCCATGGAGTGGTCGGAGATACAGTTAAAATTATGCTAATTACTCTCTCGTTCATAAAAATAAACTATAACAAAGAGGCAAAATATCCATACAGTATGCTCAAATCAAATAAAATAAAATAATTTATCAAAATCAAATTTACGTGAAGATGTGTAAGAGGTGAAATTATAGCATCAATTACAACACATGTAATTTCACAGACACATGTTTGTGTCTGTGAAATAGAAAAGGATTTAGCGAAAGAGGAATATCATGGCAAAAAATATGTGAATTGTATAATACTCTGTACGAATACTATAAAGTAACCAACAGCTAATTCAAATAAATCTTATGGTTGTTCTTACCAACTAATAATCCTTCTTCCTTAATTAATCTTCTAGCTACGTTCAGAGACTCTATGTCATATAATTTGTACCATTTATCTATATTCGTTCGATCACATATTGTAGGAATAATAGTATCTCCTATACCTTCGACTTCGGAAAACTTCACATTTGTTTCATTAATTTTGTCTGGTTGAGCAAACTTTGAACTATAAGGATCGGCACCTATTATTATTGTATTCGGAGAAATTTCTTTAAACTTTCTACCTATACCAGTCATAGTTCCACCTGTACCAGCTGCAATAACCTATACAAATTAAATATACAAAAATTATTAATCTGTTCACTTCTATAAAATGCTAAACAAAAATGACTCTCTCACTTACGATCATATCAACTTGTCCATCACACTGGTAATATATCTCTTCAGCTGTAACGTCATAATGGGCTACCGCATTGGATGGATTAGAAAACTAAAAATAAAAGTCATAAATTCTTTAAAGTTCAAAATATCATGTAATAAAATTGATGCAATTTTAATACTGTTCCGATATATTTTTATTATATATACAGGACCCAACTGTACTTCGAGACAATATATTATACGGCGGAGCTGAACATCGAAAATCCGAGTTATGAAGAAGTAGTTCAGATAATAAATAAACTAAAAAACAATAAAGCACCAGGAACGGACGGAATTTCGGCAGCATTATTAAAACATGGAGGATCCGAACTCTGGGAAAGAATCCATTCCCTAATAACATTAATATGGACGAAGGAGCAAATGCCAGAGGAATGGACAGTTGGCCTCATGCAGCCAATATATAAAAAGAGGAGATAAGAGGGAATGCCAGAATTATAGGCCAATTACATTGCTAAATGTAATATACAAAATTCTTTCTGGTATCATCTACAATAGATTATTAGAATACTCCGAAAATATAATTGGTGATTATCAAAATGGATTCAGACCAAATAGAGCCACTACAGATGACATATTCATACTAAGAACGATACAAGAAAAAGCTTATGAATACGACATAGACCTATATAATATGTATATAGACTTTAAACAAGCTTTTGATAGTGTGAAAAGAGACAGAATGCTGGAAGACCTTTGTAATCTAGGTATACCTAAGAAATACATCAGCCTCATAAAAATGACGTTGCAGAGTTCAAAAGCCGCAGTCAGAGTAGATGGAGAACTTACTCCCCTGTTTAACATCAACATGGGAGTAAGACATCAAGTAACATCAACCATGCTATTCAACCTAGTTCTTGAGGCAGTCATCAGAAAAACCAATATAACCGGCCATATAAACACCAAATCAGTACAAATTACTGCATATTCAGACGATGTAGCCATCATTAATAGGAATAAGCCACGACTAATGGTGTCAAAGTGTTCAAACAAATTGATCCTGAAGCAAGCAAAAGAGGTCTCAAAATAAACGAAGCAAAAACGAAGTATATGACAGTCAAAAGAATAACTGACAATGAAAATAATATCACAATAGACAACTATACTATCGAACGAGTGGATGCCTTTACATATCTCGGCACAAAAATCAATCAAAAGAACTCCGTAAGTAGCGAAATTAATGCACGTATTTCCAGCGGGAATCGTACATACTATGCTAATAAAAGATTGATGACATCGAAATTATTAGACAAAAGAACCAAAATGACTATCTACAGAACACTGATTAGACTCGTAGTAATCTATGGATGTGAAACTTGGGTAATGACGAAAAAAGATGAATCCCAACTCAGGACATTCGAGAGAAAAATATTGAGGAAAGTATATGGCCCGGTACAAGAGAAAGATGGCACATGGAAAATCAGGAGAAACGACGAGGTTAATGAGTTAAATAAAGGTTATGACATTGTAAGATTTGTAAAAAGTCAAAGACTGTCATGGCTGGGACATGTGCAGAGACAAAACTATGCAAAAACAACAAAGAAAATGTTACAATGGAAGCCCATAGGAAGGCGAAAAAAAGGAAGGCCCAGAACAAGATGGTTGGATGACGTGGAAGACGACCTGAAAACAATGAACATAAGACAATGGAGAAGAAGGGCACAAGAGAGATCTGAATGGAAGGACATAGCCAGACAGGCAAAGACCCATCCAGGGTTATGATGCCAAAAGAAGAAGAAGAAGACAGAACCCAACTGTATATTTTGGGGAGGCCTATGTCCAAAGTTGGATTAATTAAGGCTGAAGAAGAAGATATATAGTTACATATTAAAAATATTTTTTTAGCCCTTCTCTCTATTCGGATTGCCGAATATAGGCCTGTTTAATTGTTAACCTATTTGTATTAATATTTGTAAAGGTTTTGTATAGTTGTGAAAAAAGTGAAGTTGGTCGATAATTTTTCAGGTCTCTGGTGACTCCCTTTTTGTGTATTAGTATTGTTTTAGCAGTATTCCATTGTTCGGGTATGTTGCTTTTAAATAAACATTTATTAAATAGTATTTTTATATATGTGATGGGTTCTTCTCCGCCTTTCTTCGGCATTCTGTGCTAGGATTCCATCGCTTCTAAGAGCTTTATTCCTTTTTATTTCTTTTAATGCCTTTTCTATTTCTTTAGTGGCTTATTTCGAGCATCACTTCTGAGTTGACATTTGTTATCTGCCTTTTCAAGGTTTGCTTTAAGGAGTTAGGGGGATCGTTTCTGGAACGATATTCTAGTTGTCCTTGTTCATTTTAATGGTTATTATGTTTTTCTTTCCTAGTTTCAGTGTGGTGCATTTGAGACTTTGGTTTTTCTCTGCGGTTCTATGCGGTCTTCTTAATGTCTTTGAATGTCCTCTTTTATGGGTTTTCTTATGACTCGATTACGTTCCTTAAATTCTGCAGTACCTCTTTTGTTTTGTCTTAGAAGATCTTTTCTTTATTTCAGCATGTTTTGTGGTGCTGCCAAAAGCATGCCGAAAGAGGAAGCATACTTCAAGAGAACCCGTTCGGATTCAGAAGAGGAAGAAACTGCGAACTAGAGCTAGCAAGAGTAATCAGCAACATGAAGATACACTTTAACAGAAACCAAAAAACCAGTCAGTTTTAAGCCAAACTGAGTGGATTCATTTATTTTTTATCGACAATTAAATTAATAATAATAAAAACCATTGTTATTTGTTTTACTTTCCACGTAAAATAACTGTACCTATATTCATTCATATATGTCTATTAATCAAACCAACATGACAATGACATATATAGTGACAATATAGTTATTTTTTTAAATTTTTTAATATATGTATAATGGTTTGTTTTATAAAGTACAATATTAACTGTAATCTCACGACTAGTAAGTATGACAAATAACAATTATAACTAGTTAATTTTTATATTTCTTTGTTAACAGATGTCTTGAAAAAGAATTAAATTAAACTCGAAAGCTTGACAGTTAGTCAAAGAGTTTTCTTTGTCTTGTGGGCCAAATAGACTGACTGCATCCTCAAGAAGCAGCTATGAATTTTACTTACTTGATCTAGTATAATGGAATTTGGTGTTGTCTTATGAAGATAGTGGGTTTTTCCGTACTTTCCATTTTCACTAATATCTGGTTCCCCCATTGGAACTCTTACGACTGTTGCACCAAATGCTTTCATGATATCTTCCTTCTCCTTTGAAGACTTATCTGGTAATACGATAATGCATTTGTAATCTACAAATACAAAACAATTTATGTTTAAAAAATTTCTTTCGGTTGTTCTTTTCAGTTGAATATACTTGCATTAAAATCATCTCTTATTAATGCTATGTATTTGGTCTCGAAATATCTCTAAGTGACGTGACTCTAATATGACTATTTGTCAGAGCGGAAAATTGTGGTATAAAAAGGAGTAGTGGTTGACATGACTGCTGGATTGCCGCAGGGGTCGGTTCTAGGACCCACGCTGTGGAACTTGGCATATGACGGGGTTATGAGCCAACAATACGGAGAGGGTGAGAGGGTGTGGCAAGAGGAATGGGATGAGATGAGAAGAGTGGCGCAGTGGACGAAGTCGTTGATTCCTAATCTGAGAAGATGGATGGATTGCGGGCACCGGCGTTTGGATTATTTTCTGACACATATGCTCACAGGACATGGTTGCTTCAGGGCATACCTTTACAGATTTGGAAAGGCAGAAAATGGCAAATGCCGTGTGGACGCTGCCGCTGTCAGTATTGCTGTTTTGATATTATTCCATTTGGCCTCTATGGAGTGGAGTTCTAGCATCCTTAACTCATTTCCGACTTCTTCTTCAAACTTTTTTTTACATTCCTGAATCTTCAGTTTTTCCAGGTCCAGTTTGTTTGTTCTTTGTTGTCTTTCGTTTCTTTCTTTGTTAACTCTGCATCTAAATTTTGGTTTAGAGTAAAAGATGGTCTGATCCATAACATGGTCCTCGTTGTGTTCTCACATCTGAGATGCCTCGGATGTTACCACGGATGCCTTGGTAACCTTTTAAATAAACTAAATAGTACACTTTTCATTATCCAGTTTACAATGAAGATGGAGTCTGATTTATCATCATCATTCCTATACGTCGTTGTAAGAAAAAAATCAATGCCAAGATCTCTTTGGCCCTATTTACCGACAATTCACCTATACAAACCACCATTTGCATGCCAATTCTGTTCTACCATAAAATATAATTCATCTATCAATACCTTGTTTAAAGTCGTTGTCTACAATGTGTTAATTTAATAGCAATTTCAAAATACAAATGGTCATAACTCGTTAAATAACCTGTATAGTAGTATCAAACTTATTAGTGTAAGAAAAGGTATTGTAAAAAGGATCTAAATATGAGAAAATATACAGGGTGTCCTATGTTTGCTTTACCACGTAGTTATTAATCTCCCTGTAAAATTTGACATATTATCCGAAGCTGAAGAATATCATTACCTACATTTTGTTTAAATAAATTTTTTTAGATGTTCTGTACTGTAATAGAATTAGTAATAGTAAAGTAAATATTGGTAATAGTAATAAGTAAAGTAAAATATTACCTTTAATAGCACATACCCAAGCCAATGCGATGCCGGTATTACCAGAAGTAGTTTCAATAATTGTCATACCAGGTTTTAGGGTGCCACATTTTTCCGCATCTTCAATACATCGAATAAGCATCCGTTCTTTTATTGATCCACCTGGGTTCATGAATTCACATTTTCCATCTAGAATATCACAAGAATAAGAATTAATAGTGACAAAAAAGATAAAAATATTATGAAACGTTCGTAAAATCTAGTAAATAAAGACTAGTTCTGTAAGACATAACCATTTAACTATTTTTTTTTTCAAATAGAAAGTTGATGAAACGAGGATTTGATTTGACTATAAGTCACCGGACAAAATAAAAATATTTGTAAAATATCATAGACCTAAAGAGTAGAAGCAATATACTATCATATAACTTTTCTTTGCTTGTACTTACCACAAAACGTATGAAAACGTTAAAAATATGGTTATGTTAGGTTAGGTTCCCCTTAGTTGGGGGCCAGCCTTAATTAGAATACCTTCACAGCCTCTTATGCTTGTAAACTGCGACTCATGGAAGAAGCTACCAACTGTCCATTTTCCAAGTTCCTATCCTGTCCCTGTGTGAGAGTAGATACTCCCAACTGTTATACGAAAGCGACCCCTACCCATAATTCTGCCTCTAATAGCAAAAGTCATTCTTCTTCTTCTTCTAGTGTCGTCTCCACTAATGAAGGTTGGCTATAACCATTGCAAATTCCTCTATCTTCTGCTTGTCTTAAGAGCGTCTGTGTGTTTAACCCAATCCAGTTGCAAATGTTTTTCAACCAGGGTATTTGTCGTCTACCAGGGCCCCTTTTTTCTTTGATTTTACCCTTCATAATCAGCCGCAACAACTGGTACTTATCATTTCTAAGTATGTGCCCCAAATATGCTGTCTTTCGCCTTTTAGTGGGGGTCAAATGTTCTCTGTCTCTTCCCATTGTGTGCAACACCATTTCGTTCGTAATATGATCGATCAATAATATCTTCAAAATTCTCCTAAAAAGCCACATCTCAAAAGCTTCCAGTTTTCTTATTAAGTCAACATTAACAGTCCAGGCTTCGAGACCATAAAGAAAAATAGAGTAGATATAACATTTTACCATCTGATATCGGATTTGCAGATTGAGTCTTTGGTTACTCAGAAATTTCGTCATCTTCAAAAAGGCTGCTCTTGATTGCTCTATTCTTAAGCAAATTTCTGATTTCGGATTCAGATCTTCCATAAACCAGACTCCTAAGTATTTCATTTTGTCCACTTGCTCAATATCTTCATTTTTTATCTGGATCCTTGTAATGACTTTGCCCTTCTTACTGATAACCATGGTTTTTGTTTTCTTTATGTTTATTGTTAAACCAAATTGTTCTCCAGTATCACAAATTGTGTTTAGTAACATCTGCAGGTCTGTCTCACTTTCAGCGATAATAACTGTATCGTCAGCATAACGGATGTTATTTATATTTTCACCATTTATCTTGATCCCTTCTGCACAATTTCCAAGCGCTTGCGTAAATAACTCTTCGAAATATATATTAAATAGTTATGGTGAAAGTACACAGCCCTGTCTCACTCCTCTACTTATCTGTTGCGCATGTGTACTATTTTCATCTAAAGTTGCCACAGCCTGTTGGTTCCAATAGAGATTTCTCACTATGTTAATGTCATTTTTGTCGAGTTATTTTCTCTTTAGACATTCCATGAGAATGTCATGTTTTACTTTGTGGAAAACTTTCTCATAGCTAGAGAGCTCTCAAAGCTAAAGTAATACACGAAAAAAAACCTTCAATAATATGAAGGCATATGATTTTGCATATTCCGCATATCTCGCAGCTTCAACCTCAAAATGTAATACCATCAAGCCAAAATTGGTTCTCAAGCAGTGCTTAAAAAAGGAGGCAAACCGGAGCGGACTACAACCTTGGCGGTGTAAGCACTGTCACTGAACCGAAGAATTAACCCAGCTTGTGGGAAGAAAATAAAAAAGGTATATAGGTAGGAGAGTCTAACAATGGAGGAAATTGAAAGCAGAAAGAAGGAAATAAAAACTTTCTAAAAAATTGGGCCACAGAAATCACCAAGGAAGTAATGGAAGTATTATAGGAAAAATGGCCTGAATGGCGTGAGGTACAGGACGGTGGGACAATTTTAGTACTAGAGGACACAGCTGATGCAAGATTGAAGGAAAAATTATGTGTAAGGTACCAAGTCATTCCAGAATTGTATGTGAAAATGATGTAAATTGAGGAATTGTCACCTTGAGTAAAAACGAATTAGTGACTGACAGGAGCGATAGGAAATTATGTCCACTTCCGCATCATATTTCTATCATATCAAGAAAACTCTTTCTAAAGTTCAAGACGAACCGGAACCGGAAGAATCGGGAAAATCATTCCAGACCAAAGCCTTTAAACCCAAAATACGATGCACTACTAAAAAATATTTATTTTACAGATTAATTTACTTTTTATTCCTACATATTAATTTTTTGCTTATTATTAATTTACTTACAAATTTCGCACTCTATATTTTCAGCTTTTGGAATTTTATTCATTTTTACCAAAGGTGTATTTCCTACAGCTTTAAGTATACTGGGAAGTATTTTCCCATCAGAGGGTTTCCTAAAATAAATCAATCAATTAAAATAAATTTTACAGTTGAAACCATATGGTTTACAAAAGAAACATTGTCTTCTTGATATCACAACTACAAATCTCATCATCAATTCTCCCATAAGAAGTCTGTAATTATAAGTCTTGCTGATAAATTTATAAGACCAACAGATCCAAAATACGGACCAATTGCAATAAAAAAGCTAAAAGTGCCCTTCTAAATAGTGCATCTCCCAAACATCTAATCGATACTATTTTCAAATTAAGACTTAATACATTTTACAACAATACAAATAACAATAAACCCAACAGTATCAAGACTAAGTATACAACTCTTCCATAAAAAGGTTTATCAGAACAGCTGAAAAATCTTTTAGCCAAAATAACATAAAAGTGGGTCACAAAGGTAACAACCTTTTAAATAAATATTTCACAAGACTAAAAACCCAAACTCAAAAAATCACATGTTGTTTACGAGATACCATGTATTGACAGTGAAGGTGTCTATATCGGGCAAACCAGTCAACTGGTTCAATCCAGAAATCGTTCTCACAAATATGACAAGAACAACGTCACTGCGCTCACAAAACATGAAAATGAGAAGAAGCATAAATTTGACTTCGAAAACACCAAAATTTTAAAAACCGAACGAAACAAAAAGAACAGGGAGATATACGAATCAATAGACATAAAAAGAAATACCAACGCAATCAATGACAAAAAGAAACACAGAACCTAAATAAATAAAATATATTTCAATCTGACTCAAATAATAATAAATATAACACCATAAAAAGCTCTTAGAATCATAGCATATCTCCACTTTACTTTTAAGAAAACATCAACGATACGCCCATATAAAAATACTTTTATCAATATAATTAAATTTTAATAATAATTTTATCAATATAATTAAATTTTAATAATAATTTTATCAATTTTATTTCAGTCAATTCATTAATGTCAGTGTCCCGTTTTAAATTTTGGTAAGTTTTTTATATATTTTACAATAATAAGTGTAGAATAACATCCTACAAAACATTAATTACTTTAATTTTAAATAAGTATATTCTTACCAGTCCCATTTGCCATGTGGAGATTGTTCAGTTTTATGAAGGTCCTTCTTCCATGGACATTTAGGGGGTCTATTGGGAAGTGTAGGATGATCCTCTAGAGGCGACCTAAAACAGTATTCTGGATCTCGATTTCTTGGTTCCGGACTCATGGCAAAATGTGAATTTAAAAACTGTCCAAATTCAAATTTGAAAGTACGTGTAGACTTGTTCCAAAAAGTTCAAAATATTGACTATAAATATGCAGGATCGTCTTTGTTCGATCTGATATAGAAATCCTATTGATATCACATGATCTATTTTATTGGCTATTCACCAATTGCGACGATAAAGTGGTTAAACAGGGACTTAAAATGCCGAATAGGGGTTAAGCTTAAATTTAATGTTCAGTTTCAAGGTCAATTAAAATGGAATTGCATGGTCGTAAAGTAATTTTCCGGCAATGTTAATATTTTTTCGCTTTAGATATGGTAGATGATAGACTTACTGTATATTAAAAAGTTTTAATTAAAATTTAACAATTAAAACATAAAACATAAATAGAAAACAAATCGTTTAATGTTCTAATTTCATGTTAACTTTGTGGTTATTTCTGTTTTATTTACTATTTACTTGGTTAATGTCCAAATTTGCCTCTCCACGATATCCATGGCAATACACATTATCGAACAGTCTTGTTCTAGAGTTTGGAAAATTTTCTTATTTGTTACCATGTACTTCATTTTACCACAGATTGTCCACCCCAATCTCGATCTCTTAAAATTTCTCTAAATAAATGAATTCAGTCACATTTTTCAATAATTTGTTCCTGGTTTTCTTTTTTAAATAAAATTTAAAAGTATTACCTCTCTTTGGTTTCTGTTACCAATTTCAAATTTTTCTTGGTTTGAGTTTTGTTTTCCAATAAATGCATTAAAGCCTCCTATAACTAGGGTAAAGGTCTTCTTCTTGATGTGCATTACGTTCCGTTACGAATGGAAATTACAAGATGTTCTTCATCTTCCTGGACCTCGTTTTCTAAATATTTTTCCTTGCAGGATGGTTTGAAGGAGGAAGGAGTAGAGGTAGGTACTTATATTTATACTCTTTAACGGCTTTGGATATTTTTGCGACAAGGTTGCGTCTTACCACCACTATTATTTAATCTGTATTCGGAATGTATCAATATATTCGATTTCAAGAAAATCATTAGACGAAGTTCAAGTTGGAATCAATATTAACGGAACCAATTCCTCGGTTCCTCAGTTCCAGAACTTCGGTTCAAATTATATTTGCCAGCTTTCAAAAGTCAAAGGTTTTTATTCTATGCAGAAGGCAATACACTTATTTGATGAATCATAGCATTTTTGTAAGATAATAAATATAGTTTCGGGACTAGTTTGGGACGCAGTCTATTATAAATTTTTACCTCAACAACAACTATAGTGTAATAATTCAGTAGCTGTCAATAAAACTAAATTTTACTCCACGATTTGAGACTTGATGCTGTTACCCGAGAGCTGTTTCCAACCAGCCATAGGCATGGAGTGCAGTACGACGCCGAAGCTGAACTAGCTGTGCCTTTTACCGTTAACGAACTCAACGAAGCATTGAGTGTTTTAAAGACACGAAAGGCTTCGGAACTCGTTGGGATACCACCAGAAGCGGTGAAACGCATTGGCAGTGTGGAGCCAACGTGGCTTTTGGAACATCAAATCACTGCTTAGTGCATTGATTTCCGGCAAATTTGTAGATCTCGAGCCTCGTGCTACTCCCAAAGGTGTAAGACAAGTATCGACCTGTTAGCCTTCTTTCTAATTAACCTGTTTAATTTGCTGTTAACAATGTTCCTGTTTTTTCATATTTATTAACAAAAATTCGAATGCTACGGCTTTACACACATAGATAGGAAATATCACACTAAGATATACTATACATACGTCTTGTTTGCACTAGAAGGCGTTAATAATTGATGTTTGAAGGACTGCTAGATTATCTGCTGTACTTTGAGGTGTCTAAAACCTGATTGTGCCAAATGTGGTTAAGATTTGGAGATTTACCGGATTCTATATAAAGATCATCAACTTCAGGAACTTTTTTCTTTATAAAATTTATATTCAATTTAATAAATAATTGAATTTAGATAGTTTTTTATATAACAGGTACTTACTATTTTTTTTCTGACAAAAAGTTTTGATATTGTCTTCCTTGGCGTAATGACGTCATCCACAAAACTCATACTATCAAAATGAAAATCTAACTCTAATTTTCATGAGGGTATTTTGATTTTACTGAGCAATAATATGCCAAAATTATACTTATCTACTGTATGTGATGCTTCTACATTTTTCTTCTCTTGTAGATACGTTGAATGTATGTCATTTATTTTTCTTTTCACTCGTTCTTTACCACTGATGTTCATCATGTCGCCACCCTTTATAAGCACTATTTGTCTTATTAATGTCGCGGTAATCTATATCCTTATAGTGTTGTTAACTAGCTTGTTAGGATGTCCAGACCAGCGTGACGATAGAAATACCAGCTTACCGTTTGCTCCGAAGATAAAACTTGACATTTTTAAAGAATACGTTTTTATTTTCATTTCACCTACATTCTAATGTCTATACAAACTATCGAGTTAGGTTAAACTACCGGACTGACTTGACAAATTGAAACATAGTCATCCTCATCTAACGCAAATGTTCAATTTGTATCATCTATTTCTGGATCAGGCTCTTGCATGTATGTTTTGCTGAGGTTTGATTATGTAAGTTGTGTGTTTAAGTGGGAACAATTATTTCTAGAAGGAGAATTATATAAGATTCCTTGTTCCCGATAAGGAAGAGCATGCATACTTTACAACCTCAAGTCCCAAAAACACTCAAAAGATCTATCTTCCTCATGCAGTGCTTATCAGTTACGGATGTTGACTACCAGAATGGCTTTTCTTAACTTCTGTGGTCGTAAAGTTATACCAATCTCGGAGATTGCGCAGCCACAATATCCTCCGATTTCTGGGCCTGAGTGATTGTACAGAATGATTTGGAGCAGGCTGTACCGAGGTTCATTACGCATTACAACACTGTCCATCTAAGAGATTCTCAATATGCATGTGTAGCACATTTTAAATTATTCAAGACGCTTGCCTCGGACATCATAACGGAATTAATTGGAAGCTGTAGGTCCTAACTATTAAAAATCTTTTTCATTTTGATGAATGCTGATCTTACCTTTTAAATCCTTACTTTTATCTTCATCGAATGGTTATAATAATTATAATATAGTTATAGTTATTATAATTATTATTATATATTATTATCATCCCCGATTACTTTGCGATAATTACTAACCTGTATGTTTTCTTTCATTGCCTTGAAGATTTCTTCACATACCTCTAGTATGAATTTAGATATGGAACACCTTGAAACTCAATAAAAGTGACACAGTCTTCTGTATCTAATGCCGAATGAAAGAAAATCCAAAGTGATCTCCAACTTTACTCTTGCTGGTAAAGTCTCTTCTATAATAGTATGCTGACGTTGAATATTTGGCATCACAAGACTTAACAGAATATCAAACACATCTGGATTCATTCGTAAAATACTGATATACTCTTTAAGTCTTCATTGCAAAGTTCTTCTAAAACCAGTGCGGATGATCCACGTTCATTCCTTTTTAAAATCCATGGTCTTGTCCAAACGCGTTTTTCCAATAAAGCTTTTGTTAATTCATCCAATGCAATTTGACAAAGTTTCTGAAGTAACTGTTTCAGCCGAACTTTGTTTTTTTTTTTTAGAAATATTTACCATTTTCAGTGGATTTGTTGCTCTATTGATCTCGCAATAGTACTAGCTACTGGCTCAAAATTTCCTAGCCACATGTAAACTGTTGTAGCGTACGCCAAGCCAGGACAGTAACTCAGGCCAGGATACCGAAGTATCTAGCTTGCTATCCTAGCTTGAAAAACTAGCGTCGTGTAATCCGGCCATTACGCTTCTATCCTACCCATCATAATAAATCTTAATATCTCATATTTAGCATCTCTCATTTTATATCCCAAGTAGGAAACTTGTTATTTTATAGTTTGAAACACTTCACGTTCGGTTCCAGCTCTTCCTAACACATTTAACATGATAACTTCCCTTTTGTGGCATGATCAACTCCAAATAATTTCCAAATATACCAATAAATACTCTACACCAAATACAGTAATAAAAAATAATCAAATTCAAGCATTTTATTAAAATTCATAATATAAGCAATATGTATGTGCAGTAATAGTTAATATAGTATTATTAAAACCTATTTAAACGCCAGAATGCAATACCTTCAGATATATTGATAAGTGTCCAATGTTCATATTAATGGCCTGATAAGGGTATTATCAATTACTTCATTTTATAATTTTCTATAAAAGAAAAAATATCGTCAGATGTCACTACTCCTAGAGCTTTATCGATTTTGTCTGTAAATAAGAGAAAAAATATAAGTACATGTTTTAAACAGGTAATAATCTCTCTTAAAATTTAAAACATCTAAGTTATTCAACTAAAAAAAGACTTAAAATCAAAAATATAGTGTAATGATTTTGCTAATGTCTAATTTATTAAGAATTTTTTAACACTTAGATTTTTTCAATTTTATTTAGTCTCTGTATATAAATTATTTAATTTATATACAGCCCTTTTCGATGTCAGCAACTATAACAGAATGGATGAACTTTTTTCTCCAATTACTAATTGTATTTGGATTTCTCCATAGGTGTTGGCATTTTCACATGTGGTAGTCCGTAGTCGTAACCTCGTTGGTACAAGTTTCTTACGGTTGTTTATAACTCTCAGTTACTCTCTCAGTTCTTACGGCTGTTTACCATTTATTTCTCCATCTACATACACACTATCTTCACGACATGGAGAAGCTATTTCTATTAGATGCTCTTTGTAAGTAAATGTTCCTGGTCGAAGCTGCCAGGTATTTCTTGCTGTCAAGTTTCTTGATTTGTGTTGTACTTAGAGTATTTACTTGGACTTCGTGTGTGTCCCATTTCACCACAATTACAGCACATTATGGTCTTCGTATTTTTATGTGTAATACCCTTCATCATATTAACAAGCTGATCCAGTTAGTCTTCATCTTCTTCCTCTTTTACAGTACTAATTTTAATGTACCCGCCAGAGGGCACGGGCATGTTTTTGCAGTTGAACAAAAAAATCATAATGGCATGTTAAGACAGTTTAAAAATGCGGTTTTTGCTCACTCACA